GCTACTATATATATCTATCTATCTATCTATCTATCCACACACCCCCTTACATATACCCAGAGAGGTGACTGGCATCAGGTGATACACAGAGATGAAACAAATCCTCCTGCCCATCTACAGTCTTCTCTACATCCATTTAAAGTGCAGAACTTACACAGGTCTCTCACACACCCCTTCTCACAGCACACAAGAACAGAGTTTGGCTGTCAATCTGCTGGAGATCCCTCCCCTGTCACCTTTTCTCTTGGTGTCAGAAGTCATTAATTCTGATAGCAGAGAAAGGAGGCGTCAGACAGAAATGACACCTAGAGCTCTGGATTGAGACAAATACAGACTATAGAGGGAAGTGCTTTGTTCATATTTAATGTCTGAAGATTACAACCACTTTAAGCTTTTAAGGCTGTCAATTATGCCCCACAATGGCACATCACCTCCTACTGACTGACAGTCCACATGACTGGAGCTGTAAAGGAATCAGATTACTGGGGTAGGGGCCACTGTGTGTGCATAAGTAGATTCCTGTGGTACAAGGATACAACTGGGAGAATGTTTGAAAAGCTGTGTTCTTTCACCAAGAAAAACTAGAAAAAAAAGCTCTTTATTTCACCTCTTTACATTATTTATGGTACTTATATAGCGCCATCAATTTACGCAGCGCTTTTACATATATAGTGTACATTCACATCAGTCCCTAACCCTCAAGGGGTGTCAACTCTTTACGGCTATTACAGCGGAACTAAACCCATCAATTTAGCAGTTTCAAAAAAAATAGTTACATTCCCAGCACATGTTGGGATTGCCAATGGTTGTATTTGCTTGTGCTCCTAACCAAACTGTCAAACCATCAAATGGCTGGAGTCACAGCTGATCACATGTGCAGAACCATGGCAGTTGCAGATCAAACAGAGGCTAAGATGGTAGCTTTCTTGGCCGAAAACAACAGGACGGTTTAGTTCCACTTTAAGGTACTTTCAAGAGCAATGTATCATAGCAAAATATGTGCTCTGTCTACGGGAAACCAAACCTGGTCGGAACAGCTCTACTACCAACAGTTACTTGGGAGAGTTATTTTTCCTTTTTGACCAAAGAAAGAAAGCGCCCATTGTCCCAAACTAACATACAAAACAATAATATTTAAGTAAAGAATATCTCATCACAGAAATTCACCAACCTATGCAAATCCACCTGCAGTGATACAGCAAACACTTTTGATATGAAAAAACCCTAATTATCTTTCTGAGGCACTTGAATGAAATGTTAAAAATGTTTGAAAAGGTGTGCCATTGCAAATACTTGCACGGCTTCAAAAGTTACCACCTTTTATTCTTGTCATCACATTTACTGCATGTGTGTGCCGATTTATCAAGCTATAAAAAGGGAGTGAATATATAATTGCTTAGTATGAAGAGGAGCCGATGATCTAGATAGTGGTGCTCATTTTGCCGTGAAAGTCTGTGAAATTAGATACTAAATTCTGCTGTATTGGCAAAAAGTTTTAGACAGTTTCACGTTCATTAACTTACCCAAAGTCAGCTTTCTTGACAAGATGTTGAAGGGTTTTCCTCCACTTGACATTAAAAAGGAGATGGATATGGTATTTTACAAAGATACATGGTGCACTCTAGTGGATGACTGGGGCATAGAAGCTCATAAAATTAACAAAGCCATACCAGAGGCATAGATAATCACTTAGACATGAATAGGTTCATAGAGGTTTATTTCGCTCTCTCGATCAAACCGCAAGTGCAACCTGCCAAAAAGTATACTAGATTGTGGGGCTGCAAATTCTCATATATTATTTGTGATGGAGGCTTAGATTTGGATGTAAAGGCTACATAAAATTGGATTATGTTTTATTAAGCCCTAGAGGTTGAAATGTCAGATCATGGAAAAAATATAGAATGTGCATACATTTCTTTGTTTTCAGTCTTAAAAGGATAAGTTCACATTTTGGAATATTTAGGATGTAACAAGTAACATGCTACAATTGAATTGGCCCCGCACTCCCTGATCCCCCTTTGTGACAGCTAGCAGGGGATCTCCCACCAGCTGTCACAATCAGAAAAAAAAAAAACACAGCCGTGCGGAGTCTGCTTGCCCAGCTGCATCTTCCATTCACAGTAATGGAATTACTGAATTAGAAAACTACAAGTCCTGACAGCTGCGCGGCTATCAGCTTCTATTTCCCAATGAACTACCATAGCACTGTTGAGCCCTGTGGTAGTTCATTTTCTCTTCCTGTCAAGAGCGTAACTGCCTGCCCATATGAGGTACGAGCAGACAGATACACTGACAAGTCTGCAGGAGTCTGGCACCGGCATGGTACCCATGTCCCAACTGGGACGCAGCAACTGCACATACACTTTTGACAGCCATGCAGGTGTGGGTGTGTTTACCCAAACAGACAGTGTGTACTCAGGAACAAGCATATTCACCTGCACAGTTGTCAAATTGGAACCAGCGGCTGTGTCCATGCAGCCGCTGCATCCCAAAAGACCTGAATGGGACTGCTTGTATGCGGATGTATGGAACATCTGTGCATTCCGTGTAGGCAAAGACAGCCTTTTTCACAGATGTATGAATAATGATGCCCACATGAACGAGGCCTCAGATTCACTAGCAGATTTAGATGGACTTGACTAACAAATGAAACCTCTCTGCTAACATTTCATAAGCAGTTACAGCAACAGTTTTTATTTTGGCATAAAAGTTTTACATATATAAGTAAGAGTTGTAAGCACCCTGGCAGTGTTAAATGGTTTGTCTCATGCCTCCAACAACCCCTTTTGTCTGTTAAGGTAAGTTGAAAAAGAACAGATTTAAAACGGCCAGATCCCCAATTGAAAATAAAAACAAAAAACGTCTAAAAAAATGAATGCAGCCACCACATCTAGGAATTGTTAAGCTGCAATTTATTATTTTATTATTATAACTTTTATTTTTGGGTTTAAGACCATTTTAAAGGAAACCTGGACTGAGAAAACTTATTGATCTGCAAATATTAGTCACCTGTCCATTATTGCTTGGTGCTATATTAATAGGATGTACTTTCCTAAGAGAATATTATAAATGCCCATATCCTTTTACGATACACGTGAAATGTACCATATTTGCAAAATGCATTCTCATTTCATCCTTTTGATTCCAGTACATGAAATTTATGGTTATTTTATTGCCTTTCAATAAGGCATTATAATCATATCCAAAGGCATTGCTGACCATTGGAACACCTGAAAAGAACATTTACACTCTTTTCACCACAGACATTTCTTTTTGCTGCTGCTCTACAGATCTTTTCAACGGATACATGCCAAGTCAGTTTTTCTGTAAGGTTACAGAAGTTACTATTACTTAGGCCAGTTACACATGGAAGTAAAAAATTTTGAGTTTTATTTACTGATCTGAAATGAGATGAATTGTCTATGGGACATTGGACACAGCTGAGCAAAGATCATCATTATTGTACAGGATTTATATAGAGCCAAGAGTTTGTGCAGCGCTTTCCATTGTGAGGGAAACAGAACAGGTAAAATACAATTCAATACAAAAAAACAGTAATACAGTGTACAAAGCAGTAAAACAAAAAAAGAACATTTTTTATTTGAGTGCAATAATTTAGTTGCGTGTTTATGTCAATAAATTATCAGTAAAAAAAACATCAGTAAATTATGACCCGTGAGCCACCTTAATTTTTTTTTTTAAATTTTGTTAAAAAAAATAAAATAAAATAAAATAGGGTGATAAGCTTTTTGAAAACTGCTTGCCCACTTTTTCACAGTGCAGAAGTAGGTAACAAAAGCATACAGGTTTGAAAACATCCTTAATCAAATGCCTAATTAACACCAGCAATCTAATATCATAGCCTTTCAATTATCAAAGCAACAATCTCCTAGGACTGTACTACTGTACTCTGGAGCTTCTTCAGCAACAGAACATGTGTAGTCTCCAAACAATCTACTTTAACATCACCTACCACTTTATTTGTAAGTTTTCTTGATTTGCAGGAATACATTAAAGTTGTCTACAGATTTCATTGAAACATATAGACCCATTAACACAATGCAATACATTCAACCCTTTTTGAATTAGCTGGCAACACACCTCAAAACACTAAAAAACAAAAAAAAAATTAACCTGGTGCTCAACACTCCACAAATAGTTCACATCTGTGTTTTGCAATAAAATGATGCAGAGCATTTCATTTGAATGGGAATGCAGCGCAATGCAAAATGGTGGGCCCCAACATGATATCAAATACACTATGTTGTCAAACGTTTTGGGACACCTGCCTTTACACACACAAACTTTAAAGACATCCCAGTCTTAGTCCGTAGAGTTCAATATTGAGTCGGCCCACCCTTTGCAGTTATAACAGCTTCAACTCTTCTGGGAAGGCTGTCCACAAGGTTTAGGAGTGTGTCTATGGGAATGTTTGACCATTCTTCCAGAAGCACATTTGTGAGGTCAGGCACTGATCTCGGACGAGAAGGCCTGGCTTGCAGTCTCTGCTTTAATTCATCATAAAGGTGTTCTATTGGGTTGAGGTCAGGACTCTGTGCAGGCCAGTCAAGTTCCTCCACCCCAAACTCGCTCATCCATGTCTTTATGGCTTTATGGACCTTGCTTTGTGCACTGGTGCGCAGTCATGTTGTTCCCACAAAGTTGGGAGCATGAATTTGTCCAAAATGTCTTGGTATGCTGATGCCTTAAGAGTTTCCTTCATTGGAACTAAGGGGTCAAGCCCAACCCCTGAAAAAACAACCCCACATCATATTCCCCTCTCCACCAAACTTTACACTTGGTCAGGCAGGCAAGTACCGTTCTCCTGGCAATCGCCAAGCCCAGAAGCATCCATCGGATTGCCAAACAGAGAGGCGCGATTCGTCACTACAGAGAACACGTCTCACTGCTCTAGAGCCCAGTGGTGGCGTGCTTTACACCACTGCATCCGACACTTTGCATTCGCACTTGGTGATATAAGGCTTGGATGCAGCTGCTCGGCCATGGAAACCCATTCCTTGAAGCTATCTATGCACTGTTGTTGTGCTAATCTGAAGGTCATACAAAGTTTGGAGGTCTTTAGTTATTGACTCTGCAGACAGTTGGCCACTTCGGCACACTGTGCACTTCAGCATGCGCTGACTCCGCTCTGTCATTTCACGTGGCCCATCACTTCGTGGCTGAGTTGCTGTTGTTCCCAGTTGCTTCCACTTTGTTATAATATCACTAACAGTTGACTGTGGAATACTTTGTAGCAAGGAGAAGTCATGGATGGACTTATTGCACAGGTGGCAACCTATCATGGTACCACGCTTGAATTCACTGAGCTCCTGAGAGTGACCCATTCTTTCACAAATGTTTGTAGAAGCAGTCTGCATGCCTAGGTGCTTGATTTGTATACACCTGTGGCCATGGAGGTGATTGGAAACACCTGAATCCAATGATTTGGAGGGATGTCCCAATACTTTTGGCAATATAGTGTACTGTATGTAGAGCCTTGTTTCTAGGAATGCCTTTCATCAGACCATGGTGATACTGAAGAATTTTTGCATCATCTTAATCTACAGTTAGGAATTCTTATCCAACTAGCTGCTTAAAGTGGACCTTCACTTATGCAAAGCACTTCATCAGGTGCCTCCTCCCCTCCGTGTTACATAATTGTAAAACATGTATATTCTTTACTCTTGTTCAATAAAGGACAGCTCTGTGTCACATAATCTTAGTACTAAATGCAGTTTCTCTTGATTTGAATACAAAATTTTAAACATCCAACTACATCCCACAAGTCTGGATCTACTTTCTAAACCTTAAAGTATAAGTTCACTTTTTAAGAAAAAACAATAAATGCACATATTTTTGCAGCAAAAAAAAAAGTACATATAGTGTTTTTTTATTGCAGGAGCCTGGAAAGCATTGCGCCCGTGATCAGGGGTACAATGTAGGGCTTCTGCAGACAAGCCCTACAGCTTTCAGCCCATACTTGCATACAGGCTGTCAGCTACAAATCTGCAGGGCGATGGCTGATGGTAACTGTAGTATACTCATTCACAGAAAACTGTGAATGAATGACGTGGCTGTGTGGGCAGAGTTCTGCAGGGCCATGATGTTTTTGAATTGTGGCAGCAGGTGCGGGGAGAGGATCTCCTGCCCGCTGTCACACGGAGGCGGGGACCGGAGGGAGAGGCTGCAGAAGCTGGAATATGTTAATTGTTCCATCCCAAATACAGGTGGAACATGTAACATGTTCAGAAAGGTGAACTTATCCTTTAAAATGCATATCATTTGTTAGCATGTGCAAAGGTTAGGGTACTCTCAGTACTAATTTTAGGATTAAGGTGATAAAGAGTACCTTCACTTTTGCTTAAAATCCAAATCAACTTTCAAATCCGCTACATGTATTCCAGGAGCATCAAAACAAAATAAGTGAAAGGTCTTACAGTTTATTTACTTCAGAAAGCAGCCACAGTCTAAGTAGAAAAGCCTGTCCCTTTCCAGCATACGGTATAGACGTACCTTTGCTCTCTGTTACGAAGCAGTAATGTCTCTACATCAAAGTGTACAGACTAACATGCAAAATATAATGGATTTTGGTCTATTTTATTTGAATGTTCAAAAGTTTATAAACTAAAGCAGGGGTAGGCAATCTCTGAGAGCTGGAGATCTACCTTGACAACATGGAAGAAATCAAAGATCACCGGGTAGCGGTGCCCAAGTAGCAAGCTGCCAATAAAAAGTGAAGACGGCACAAAGAAAAATCTAATAAAACTTATGTCACTGTAAAAATATATACTTAACCTACCTTCAGCAAAAAAAAAATCCAACTTTTAGTTTCATTTACTGATGCACCGAAATTTCGTCAGCCAAAACTCATTGGCCAAAAATAGCCCTATCGGCATTTTGCCAATAGGAAAAAGTGAGCGGATACAGGTGCCGATAATTGCGGCCCAAGAGGAAGATTGACTATTTGGCCGGGGGGTTGCAGATGGAGAAAGGCAGGACAGGAGGTAAGCAGTGTATACAGTGAGGGAGTAGTGTATACAGGCAGGCTCCCTCACTTGCTCATGCTAAATGTCATTGCCAGTTTTTAAATGCAATTGTCGGCTTTATTTTTTTTTTTTAATCTCTTCTTCATTTTATAGCTCCGGGAAGGAGCTATCATTCGCCCCGCTGCTAAACTAAACTAAGGAGCAGGGTCACCCAGTGACCCCACCTCTTTAAAGGAGCCTGCCTGTATACACTGCTCCTCTCCTGCCCCTCCTTGCACACACTGCCCTCCCTCCCCTACAAAAATGACCTGTCACTTATATGCTATCACATAGAGGACTATTGGTCCCCTATGTGATAGCAATAAAATCATAAGTTAAAAAAAAAAATAAAAGACATTAAAAGTAAAAAAAAAAAAATACAAAAAAAAAAAAAGTTAGCCTTTCCACATACGCACACATTTCAGTTTCGGCACCAGAACATTCATTTTGGTGCACCACTACTTTCATTCACAATTTTTTCACATCTGGGGAGTTATTGGTCCGCCACAAAAGTCTGATGCAGGAATCCATAATGAAGGCAGAACAACTGGTACTGCAGGCTGACTTGCTTAAATAGCTTCAGGCTTGGCTGTCTGCTCTGAGTTCTGGCCAATGTAAGTAGTATGTAGGGCAGTGTCCAGCAGTCAGCAAAAGGGGGGGCATGGCAGGGGTTAGGGAGGGGAAAGCAGGAGAGCAAACCATAGGGATGGGAGCAGGAGGGGGGGGGGGGCACAGGTGGGCATACCACATTAGGGGCCCAGGAGGGCTTGGTCCATGGGGGCTGAGGAAGGCACACCATAGTGGGGCAGTGGGGCACAAAAGTAGTTTCCTGATGCAGAACAGTAAAGGGAACTTACTGCAGCAGATCTACTTGTTCTGGTCCTTGTCGGCCCTCTTCTTTTGTCCATTCCGTGTCATCCACATGCACCTTTGGGTGGACTGGAGGAGAGGAGGGCCGGTGGGGATCACGACAGTGCACTCAGAGGAAGAGCTCAATGTGTTTGGAGAGAAGCCCGAACCCACCCACGCTATTCCGCCTACAAGCTGTCAAAGCCAAGATCTAAACATAGGCAACAGAATCCCCCCCACAGCCACCAGTAAACAAGGAGCAGGCTGCGGGGCGGGGCGGGGATTGGATTTGACAGCTTACCAAACTCAAAGCTCAGGCAGCTAATAAGCCTAAGCTCACCATTTCCCTGTGCAGCTCTGCCATTCTGGGGAAGAAGCACTTGCAGGTTGGCAAGGCAGAGACTCAAGTGAGATCTACCTGTTACCTGCCACGGTCGACTATTAGATCACAATCAACGGGTTGCCAACCCCAGAGCTAAAGCATTTAAAATAAACTTCTACACAAGAAATCAATTAGGAGGTTGGGGTTTTTGGCAGAAGAGATTCGCAAAGGCTCTTTTACCCAAAATCCTTTTTCTCGACTCCTAGTGATTTTTTTGCATAACTCTATTCCCCGTATGCTGAAAATAGAGCTGGGTGCAAAGGCCAACACAACTCCTGGAGGATGAAACAGTGACATGATCCTTGCCCCATCCTTGCAGGAAGGCAGCACAACAGCACGCAAGTATGCCATAACATGCAAATATGTTGTGCAAACTAGCACATTAGATCGACAGCTCATCCCCACTAGCAAAAGTTTAGCTTTTCTGCAAAGAAGCTGGTATGGAAGTACCCTGTATTAAAGCAGAACATGCTGGCTGTTTCTAATAGAAAGGCCATATGGCTCCATAAGTATACCATCATATTCAAGATATTTACAAAAGCTGCAGAAAACCTCAGTCATCACAGTCTACATGGCTACTCTGATTGCAAAGACAAAATATCAATATGCAATATATCACATTTACATAACTAAAAAGATAAATACTTTTTTCCACTACTTTTTTAGTCCTGAACACAAATACAGAAATGTACACAAAGAGGAAAATAGAAGTTCCAATCGGGTCCGCCTGAAAAACGGGCAGGCGGACCCGATCGGAATGTCAATGTGAAAGGGGCCTATAAGGTAACTCCAGGAATCTGTGTTTACTTCTAAATATCAAAATAACTCCAGCCAAAACTATTTATTTAGAAGGGTTAAAATGTCTGAATTTTTCACTGCTGGCTCTGCAGCCAGTGGAGATTTTCCTTCAATTTCTGTTTGTGAGCATATTACCTCCAATGGAGAACAGGCATTGATAAAATGCTTATTTGTAAGTATAGTGAGGAGGGATGAGAAACTTTGTCAGGATTCTATGGCCATTCGTTAATCCATTCGGGGAGATTTCAATGCAATTGTTTTTTTACTGGGATTTCAAAAAGCAATAACAAATAAATTGCCCATGTAGTGGCCACAAGTGTAAAAGCTGAGATATACAGCATTAGGGGAGATTTTTTCACTTCATGTGTTGGTTACAGAGAAGAATAAAGAGGAGAAATTCCCCCACAGCAGGGACACACAGACAGAAATAAAAAAAACTTGACCAATGTGTGGGAACCAGCTCAAGTTAGAGTGGTTCTAAAGGCTTGGGTTTTTTTCTTCTATAGCTGCCGGTCACATCAAAGCCGATTTTGAAATTTTGTGACTTACAGTAAAGTTGCAGGATTTCAAAATCCGGTGCCCTGCTGATTTCAGTTGCGATTTGCAAGACATCTGACACAAATGTCTATGCAAATCACAACAAAATAGTGCATGTACTACTTTAGAAATCGGTGCGGCTCCAACCAAGTTGGAACCGTACCGATATAACCGCTCTAACAGCGGACAATAGGGTGCAACTTGGCATACGATCTGCAAGTCGCATGGAATGCAAATCGCATGCCAAGTCGCACCCGATGTGACCGTGATGTAAAATAACCAACATTTTATACTTACTGGCTCTGTGCAGTGGTTTTGCACAGAGCAGTCCAGATTCTCCTCCTTCTCGTGTCCCCTGATGGAACTTCTGGACCCTACCCCTCAACGAATGCCCCCACAGCAATCTGTTTACTCTGGGGGCACTCCTGTATGCTTGATCCCGAGCCACCTCTGTGTGTCTATGGGATACAAAAAGTATGGCTCAGTCCCACCCTCCGCTCGATCCTCACTGATTAACAGCAGCGGAACCCAATTGCTCCCACTGCTGTGTCTCAGCCAAAGAGGATGGAGAGATCTGGGAGAGCCGCTGCTTTTGTGCACAGCGCTGGATTGAGATCGGGCTACAGGTAAGTATTAGGGGGGCTGCAGAAGTGAGCTGCACACTGAACGATTTTTACCTTCACGCACAGAATGTAAGTATAAATTTATCATACCTGATGGGCCACTGAAAAAGCTAGAAATCACAGTAGTAGTCAGCGCTACTATAGGGATGACCCAAACCGAACCT